CACATTTTAATACAGAAATTTTTATCTAGCAATAAAAAATTAGGATTCTGAAGACTATGTAAAATATGTAAAACTGCTTTATATAGTATTAATTTAAAAATTAGCTGGCAAATTTTATGTGTGCTATAATCCTGTTAAAGAACTACCTGTACGGCGAAAAAGACCAGGAAAAAAAGGGGAAAATTATGAAAACAATGCAAGATTGTTGAGGACATGGACAATGCCTCTTCCATTGGTCTTGTTGACCAGGAGGTTTCATTACTTATACGACGCGTCAGAGACTAGATACCTTTCACAGATCTTTAATTCCTCTCCCTTCTTCTTTCTCTCTGGAAGGGCCCCCACTTTTGTCAATGAGCCTTCACATCCCTTCACCCATCCCTCTCGGTAGGTAGGGTGCGTGTGGCCTGAAGAAGTCCCCAACCTGCGTTATTCACAGCCTGCCCCCTGGAAGACCTGACTGAGGAGTTCCCCAGCCCACACAGAGCACCCCAGTGGCAGGAGCACAAACACACTTAGTACAATTGTGAACTCTTACATATTCAAGATGATTCACAATGTTTCCATTTTGCACATCAATCAAGACTTTATCAATACTTTAAAGATCAAGTGCGATTTCAGATTTACTCCAGTAGTGCACAGACCAGACTCTAGGCTCATTGCTTGCTCTAAGTTGATGGGTCTCCAGCCCGCTAGAGAGAGAATGGTCTCAAAGGGCACAGCTAAAACCAGCCTCAGCGGTTTTCTGCCCTCTCTTAGGAGAGGCATCTGACTCCACAAACATTAGTTGATTTGTTGAGCACTTTATGCATCAGGTATCCTCAGCCTGGTGAAAAAGGACCTTCTTTGTTCTGAGGCACTCACCTTCCAGAGACCTCTAAAATGCTCATTCATTCAACACATGCTCTTATTGACCACCTACTGGGTCGTGAAGGATTTTAATAATTTCTACCCCAGGTGTTCTGATCCTAAGCCATGTCTGGGTCTAGACTACCTCTGCTGTGTCCTGGCCAAGAGATGGAACATTCTGTTCCTCAGTTTCCTCCTCTGGTCATAATAGCTTTACTTGTCCCGAGGTGGCTGGAGCGTCCAGGGAGTGGGCCTCTGCCAGGCTGGCTGGCATGCAGGAAGTGCGTCAACCATTCTAGGAATGACTACTTCACCAGCAGCAGCTGTGCATCTCCTGGGGCATCCTCTGCTCTCTCACATGGGCATCTCTGTCCTCAGGATTTCCAGAGTACATAAAGCTTATCTCAATGGAGAGGGGCTCTTGGCCACAGACTTTCCCAAGGTCCCCTGATACCCGCACAGCTTCAGGGTTGCCCACCTCAGCCCAGCCTGATCTCCAACCCTGCACATCAGAAGTGACTTGGGGTTGGAGTCAGCAGGCTGGTCACTGCTACTGCTGACATGCCAGGCCTTGTGTGAAGCCCTCTGTCTCTGTGACCTCCTCAGTTGACCTAGGTGGGAGTGGGGAATGCTGTGAGGACCCCACTTTCCCACAGGAGGGGGAGGCTCCACAAGGTGCCATTTTGTCTCCCAAGGTGCAGAGGCAGCCAGGCAGTCTTATTTTTAATCAGGACGCTCAGCAGACCATCATGGGGAAAAACTCTCCATTTCCTAACATTGTCTATTCAAAGTCCTGAAAAGCAGGAAGGATGACAGTTTTTTAAAAACAGACCTATAGAGTAATCACTCCAGAGATGCTGTTAGGCACTTCACAGATATTAACGATACAGGTTCTATTATTAAACCTGTTTTGCAAATAAGGAAGCTCAGGCAGGGAGGTAGGACGGATGGCATCAGCAGGGATGTGGAGTCGGCTTGCACCCACACAGCTGAGCACAAGCAGATGGTCTCTTGTAAACTCTGGGTCCATTCATTCTCCTCCAGATCAAAACAGATCATGGGTAGTTAGGAGAAACTTTATGCCTGAGGATTACTGCAGGAGCCTATGGGACGGGCCATGCTATGACCCTGTGATCTGCAAAACATCTCAAGGATCAGGCAAAAGGAGTCTGCTTTCATAGGGAGGAATAAACAAGTCCAGAAGGACTGGGCGCTGGGAGTCCAGATAACTGGAGCTGCAAGATCAGGAGGGGCTGTGGAAAGGGGGTGGCCTTCTGGCTCAGGCTGAAGGTGGGCCAGGACCTGAGGAGGAGGAGAGAATCCTTAGGTTAAGAGATATTTAGCTGCAGTTGATCAGTGGGAACGAGCAGCTCAGCTAATCTCTTACTAGGTGACAGATGAGGAGTCTGGCAGCTCTGGTCTAGAACAAGGGCGCTCTGAGTCATATCTAAATCCCGCAGGGAGAGGAGAACCCTTCATGTGAGCCCTTCCCAGAACTCGGGGGTGGAGGATTTCTTAACCCTCGCTGTTCTCGGGGATCAAAGGACTTGAATTGCGTTTGTTGTGATTCTGCTCGGTTTGTGTCTAGCACCTGCTCTGTGCCAGGCTCGCCCTAGGAAATTTCCTAAGATCTCAGACTCATGAAGATGGTCAAAGGCACTGCCTTGGACACCACCTGCCAAGTCACTCTACACTAAGAGAAAATGGGATCAAGGTGAAAACAGCTGTTCTTGGCTCTTGTCCCTGCCACCTGGCTTCTTGCTTCCAGGTCCCTCTTTGTGACAGCCTGTGTCACTCCTTTTTTTCCATCATGAATAAACCATCGTAGGCAAAGACCACGTTCTGTTGATCCGTTCCGGGCGACAGGCGTGGCTTACTTTCCTCTTCTGGGCTCTTGTGAAGAGCGTAGCCATGGGCACTGTGTACCTCTTGTGCTTCTCTTGGGTGTACCCTAGGAGTGGATCGCTGGGTCCTCTGGGGCTCTGTGTTTAGCCTTCTGAGGAACTGCCAAGAGGCAAGTGTTAGAGTCTATAATAAGGAAAAAAGGTGGGGTTCAGGCAAGACACTGAAACTAATTTGAGAAAGAAGCCGGGGTTATAATCAGGATGTGGGGTGTCTCTAAGCCTGCGTGTGATGGAGGTCACCTGAGGTTCACCCCAAGCTGGGTGCAGTCATGAGCCAGAAGTCTACTGCCCTACTTCTGTGGATACCACGGGACGTGAGACTCTATTTGTGGCTTTGCCTGTTACCATGCTTCAGAAAAACGCAGCAATGCCTCGTGTGCGTTCACAATGGAAGGGGTGGTCGCTGCCCAGCCGGCTTGTGAGATTCCTGTCCTCCTGGACAGCCTTAGGCCACTGGTGCTGTTGTAACAGGACACCACCCACTGGGTGATGTCTAAAGAACAGGAGTTTCTTACAGTCCTGGAGGCTGGGAGTCCAAGGTCATGGTACTGGCATCTGGGGTCGAGTGGAGTCTTCTTGCTGCTTCCTCACATGGCAGAAGGCAGGATGTGCTCTCTCCTCAAGGCCTTTGATTTGGGAACCTATTCCCATTCATGAGAGGAGGTGCCCTTGTGGCCTGTTAAGGTTTTCCACCTCTTACCACCATTACATAGATCTGAATCTTAGCAGGAGCACATTCAAGTCACAGTTCCACAGTGCTGAGTGGGGAAAGCTGGTCGCCCTGGCTCGGTCAGCCCTCATCCAGTGGTGGAGTTGCACAGGACACTGGTGAGCCCGAGGATCCCTGTGGGGGAGGGGCAGCCCTGGCATTGTGGGCGGGGGCACACAACGAAAGGCACTGACCTCACCTGCGAGTGGGGCACAAAGGCCAGACGAGAAGAAGAAAGGGCAGAGTTCATGCTTCTCTTCAAAGTTAGCAGCAGATGACAGAAGGCTGGGCCTGGGTACAAGTGGACAGTTGGTGTACCTTTGTGGTTGGCAGCCTGAATGGGTGGAGGAGCCTGTCCGCGTGCAGAGGTCAGTAGGTGCTGCAGAGAGCTGGGCCAGCTGTCTCTGTAATGCAGAACTGTTCTCTTGGTGCAGAGGGAACATGCTAGTTAGTGTCCTGAGATCACACACCACTTGAGGGGAACCAGGAGCCTCCATATGTCCAGCTGTGCCAATGATGCAGCAGAGGGTAGGGTGGGAATCAGAACAGAGAGGCAGTGGCAGCGAACACCTGGCTTCCCCAGAGGAGCGTGGACTGGCTGCAATCCTGGCTCCACGTTACCTTCAGGTCAATTCATATCCTTTCGGGCCACAGGTATGGGGAGGATACCTGACTACAGTCCCCAAGTACTGACAAGAGGGACCCCTCAAGGCTTGCAGGAAAGGTCACATGACATAGCCGATGTAAACATTTTTCTCACTGTTACAACTGTAGAGACAAACTAATTGTTACATGTTTGTTATTCTGGGATAACTAATTGTCACCCTTTTCTTATGCTCAGGGATTTCATGTCCACGCTCTCTTCAACTTTAAAATTTTAGATATCTGTATCTTGTACTTGTGGGTGGGAGACATTTTTCCTAGGGTCCACAATATCTTCCTAATGGGACTGGGTAAACCGCCATCTCGGCTTCTGAGAGAACGGACACATCTTCCCCTTTTATGTTACCCTGTGTCCTCGCAGAACAGTGTGCTTATGGCCTTCTGTCCGGGCTGCTCTCTCTCAGGCAGTGTCTGCAGATGCTAGGCAGGCTGGCCTCTCTCTCACGTCCTCCCCTGCCCTTGCAGGGCTGGCTAGTCGCCATTCTTATCAGCATGACCTTTGAAGAATGGAATTACACAAGAAAAATAAGTACTTAGAGCAAAAATAGAAAATGCTACAACATGCTGCTGGTTTTCTCTGTACTCTCTTCTTTGGCCACCAGCCAATCCAGCTCCACCGTCTCCCCAATCTTGCTCATTGTCCCTATGTCCGTCTACTCCTTCCACACCCAAGTCTACACGACCTCCCTTTCATTACATGAGGAAGTTGTCTGCCTTGACTTTTCCACCCATTTCCCTGCTTAGCAAACTTCCCAGGACATCCCCTCTTCAGAGAGCCTGGCCGTCCCTGAACAGCACGCGAGTCTCTCCCTGTTCCGTCATCTCTCCTGCCGCTTTGGTTTGTGCTCATGCTGTCTTGCTTTGGCCCTTTGCAGGTGGTGACTCTGGGTTCGGCCATGGTTTGGCCAAGCATCTGGACAAGCTGGGCTTCACGGTATTTGCCGGGGTTTTGGATGAAAAGGGCTCGGGAGCAGAGGAATTGCGAAGATCCTGCTCCAAGCGCCTCTCGGTGCTGCAGATGGATGTCACCAACCCGCAGCAGATCAAAGACGCTCACAGCAAAGTCGTAGAAAAGGTGCAGGACAAAGGTATTGCCAAACTGCCTGAGCCCTTGGTTGCCCGTGCCTGCCTCACCAACACCCGGCTCTCTTTCTGGTTCTGAGAACATCTGCACTGCGCCCTATCGCACGCACGCTGTGGCCTCTGTGGACACTCGGATGTTAGGAATGACTCAGACACAGGCCCTCTCCTGGGGCACTTGCAGAAGTCTCTGCCCCTTTCCCTCTGAGTTCCTCTCAGTCACTCTCAGCTCCCCATCTCCTCCTCCTCAGGGCCAGCAGTATTAAATGCACCAGGCTCCCCAGCTTAGCAGAAGACACGGCACGGGCCTCCATTATCCTCTGCTCTTTTCTCTCTCCTTCACGGCAAGCTCTCTGCACCCCGTCACCCTTGCATTTTACTTCATGTCCAAGTGATAGTGGACTCTTGCATGCCTCTCTAACTGACCCGACCAAGGTCGTCAGTGTTGATCTCAAGTCCAACACCTCAACTCCTCTCTGGCACTTAGAGGAGGAGATCCTGCTTTCCTCCCAGCTCTCTAATCACCCTTTCTGCTTCTCCTGGATGAGCGTCTTTCTCTTCTCCCCAGCAAATGCGAGTGCCTCCGAGACTCCACCCGCAGCTTCCTACTCACATTGTGACCACCTGTGGGGGGTTGAAACTACCAGTCTTGGGTCCAGGATGGAACACATAACCCGCAGGACCTGCTGCAAAATGAAAATGGGGGGGCCCTTGTTTAAGAAATGGTTGAGAATTTAGGATGGTGATAGCAGAGAATTAACCAAGGGTGGGCTCCTTCCAAACTCCCATGCCCTATGACATCATAGATCCCACAGTCCTGGGGTCTGCCCTGCCTGGATTCTCCCACCCTAAAATCCAGTCAAATCATCAGTGTCCTTTGGGGAGCACCTCAGCTGTCAGTGGTTTTAAGGGTCCCTGGGTGATGCCAGAGTTTGGTGAGGGTGGAGAAACACTGATTTATGCCACTGGCTTCCAGAGCTGTGTGGACAACTGGGCTCTTTTTCTCCACATCCAGATCTACACACAGAGAAAACTGTCCACCAGACATTTCCCATATATCTCAAAGCTTCCACTTCAACTTGTCAAAAACGGACCTGGTTGTCTTTTTCCCTTGGTGCCAGTCTGCAAATCAACGTGCCGTCCCACGTTTCGCACTCAGATGCTGGTACTGCCACCTAATCAATCACTGAAGCCAGCAATCCAGGGGTCACTGTGACCTCCAGCTTCCCTTGATCTTGCATCTTGTTGACTCCTTATCAGTTCCGCCTCCTAGACACTTATGGTCCAGCTGCTTCCCACCATCTCCTAGAAGTGGCAGCTTATTTCAGACCCCCGCCATCTCCGCCTGAGTCCCCAGTGACCTCCCTGCAACCCGTCTTCCCTTCCCCACCACTTTCCAAATGGAGAGTAATATTTACCACATGTATGATCCTAAAAACCCTTTGACATAAAGAGCCTCCGCGGGCTCAGTTCCACCCACGAGCCAGGACTGGGGATGGACATTTGCCTTCTCAGTGGTTCACTGGCTGCTTCAGTGGCTTCCTATCTGTCACCAAACAGAACTGAAACACCATCATGAGGATTAAAAGGACTTTCAGGATAAGGGCCCCTGCCAAATCCTTAATCTGCAATACCTGCTTGTCTATGTAATAAATTCTGAAGTGTTTCCAGAACAGGATGTATAATTCCCGCCTCTGCACACCCAGCTTCCTCCTGCTTGACTTGACCCCTCACCTCCACTCCCTTTCCCTAAGACCGTTCATTGCCTTGGTTCAACAGCGTCTTCGTGGTCGACTCTGCTCTTGTAGGAGACCAGTGCACACGTGACATCTCTTGCATGACCTTCCTGGTAACTCAACTCTCATTATTTGCTTCTTCTTCCAGACACTTCTTCATTATATCTTGCTTACACCTCTTGTACTGCACTATTGTAAGTATCTGCCCATCTCCCACTCCCCACCATTATGTTCCTTGAGAACAAGAACCACATATGTGCCAGGATTCTTTCTGTTACAAGTGACGTAACCTAATTCAAAATTGCTAAAGCAAAAAGAAAGATGGATGGAGTTGTAAGATGTATATGTTGCTTATATAATTGAAAAGGCTTGTTGATTTCAGGCATGGCTGGATCCAGTATCCATTTCTTAGTTCTGCTCTCTCCTATGTTGGCTTCAGTTGGAGGTTTCCCATGGAGGCCTCTGGCACTTCCAGTTTACAACCCCTTTTCAGCAAGCATTCCTAGAATAAAGAGATAATGGTGACTGCCTTGGTTTGTTCTCAAGGGATTAACTATTATGCAGAGAACACTTAGAAGGGTCCCTGGCACAAGGCACAGGCTTAGTAAAAAGCTTGTATTTCCACTCACTCAACATTCAGAGCAGTAAATCCTAAGTAAACATCTAAAACCTGAAATGAAAAGAGAAAAACTAAGTTGTTGGTCACTAAGGATTAATTTTCAGCAGGTGTAGCCTTGGCAGTCATTTAGCAGAGAGGCAGGGTTCTTGGCCTAGAGTCTTGCTGTGGCATGGGTTGGGCTCATCCCTCTCATGAGTCTGGCTCCATGGCTTCTTATTCAAGGTCAAGTTCAATTCAGAACCCTTTTGTGAGGCCCAGAAGGACAGTACTGAGCACCTGGAGAATGGAAATCCCAGTGTCTAGGCAGGAAGGGGACTGGTCTCCATGGTGTAAGCACCGGCTATTTTGTGGCCAGCATCCCTCCTCTGGAACAGGATGGCCAGGACACCTTCCATCTGCTCTCCTTGGGGTCTCTCTAACTTCCATATCCCAAGTCAAAGATGAACAGGAGCAGAGGGACAGGGCTTTACCATGACCAAGGATTTTATTTGTCAAAGAACCACTGGGGACCTGGAGACAGACCAGTAGGTGCTGTATTCCTACAAAGCATGTTATTGACTCAGTGTTATCAGACTGCTAATTGTTAACTAATATTAATTATGGTTAAGCTGTTATTAAGTTCCACAGGTATAGTGGGCTTAGTGGCCAGCTTAGAATTCTATAGCAGTTAACAGGTACCAAAACTCAGGTAGATAGAAGAAAAAGTTCTGGTGCTGCTGTATATGTTATCCCTAAACCCCTGGCAATTGCAAATCTGTTCTCCACCTCTTTAACTTCGTTATTTAAAGAAGGTTATCTAGGTCTGACACCCCGTTCTTGTGTGGCCTATGAGCTAAGAATGGCTTCTTCTTTTAATTTAAGCAATTAAAAGAAATCAGAAGAAGACACATGGAAATTATATAGTATTCAATGTCAATGACCATGTGCAAATTCTCACCGGAGCAGAGCCACTCTGGATCACGTGGCCTGTGCTGCCCTTGCTCCTGTTGTAACAGCGGAGTTAGGGCAGCAGCGCCTGCAAAGATGAAATGTTTACTTTCCCAGCGTCTAGTCTAGGACATTATCAGGCTCTGTGTGGACTGGCCAGAGGTGTGCATCTGGCTGGGTAGGCTGAAACTAGCACTTTCTATGAAGGTGACATCCTCCCACTTGTCACCTAATAGCTGTTGAGCTCTTCCTATGTGCCAGGCACCCTCTCATTTAGTACTCACCATCACCATTGTGTGCAAATTCAGGTCAAACTGGTGTGCAAGAAATGCGATTTTATTTTCTATAACTCAATTTATGCTTAGAGCCATCTTTCTGCCATGTGGCAAAAATAGTATGGGCCCCTTTGAGCTAGGTCTCATTCCCCTGGGGTAGTGTTGAAATGACTGGGGTTTTCAGTTGGTCCCTGCTGAGAGGTCCCTGCTACATGTAGTCCTCATGCAGTTTGGCTGGCATCACCTCCTTATTGCCATCAGACAGTCACCAGTAGGGCCGGTGCTGTCCTTCCTACCTGAGACCTGTTTGGCTCCTCATCATGGGTCCTCACCCCCTGGTGTTCCTCAGGATCATGGAGGGCAAGTTGTATCACAGATACTGAGCTCAGCAACACTTCCTGATCCAATGTTTCTGATCCAGTGGGTCAGAGTGAAGTTCAAAAGTTTGCATTTCTAACAAGTTCTCAGTTGATGTTGCTGGGTGGGGACCATACCTTGGGGACATCTCCCACCATGCTCTATCAAATCTTAGCATCTCTGCTTCTCCCAGATCTTTACCTCTGTTCCTGTTCCCCTCACCCCCTCTGAAAAAAAGAAAAGAAAAAACCCCCAAAGAACCCCACGGGTTCCCTCTTTCCTATCATTTAGAGAGTAGTTCCCAAGCTTACTTGAACCTTGGGGAATTTTAGAAACTCCTCATACCTGGGTTCTGAGTCTTTCCCACCCCAGAGTTTCTGAACAACTGGGCTGGGACGAGTCCTGAGCACTGGGATTTACCAAAGCTCCACACAGGATTCCAATGTGCAGTGAGGGTTGAAAACCACTGTTTGTGCAGTGGTTGTCCATGGGTGGTCTGGACTTGCAGCACTAGGGAACATGTTAGAGATGCAGATTCTCAGGCCCTGCCCCAAACACCCTGACTCAGAGTCTCTGAAGGCAGTGCCAGCAGTCTGTGGGAACCTTTCTGGTGGTTCTGATACACGTCTGGGGGTTCAGGCTGGTGCAGGCAGAGTATAGGGCTCAAAACCCTAAAAGCGACCCATAATTATCCCAGGTCTTTGTTCTTCCCATCTAGTTTTTTCTGTTTCCCTGAACTAGGGAATCATTACCAGATCAAGGATGAGAGAAGACAGGCTCTAATTTCATCCTACATGGTTGCAAAGACATCCTACTGTCTTCTCCCACTCCTTCCAGGGGGAAATGGAGGAAGCTCTTGAACTTCAAAGCCAGGCAAAGATATTCTTACCCTCTGCTTGTGCCCCTTCCCATATTTGAAACATAGCCAGTTTCCTGAGTGCAGGCAAGGACTTCCAGGCAAAAAGAAAGACCCACAAAGTACCCCCCCCCCCTTTTTGATATTTCACAGATTGATTCTGCACACAGCACCCCATGGTGGGTGGTTTTGGTTACTCGTGGAGACTGTTGGTCCTTTGACATGCGGGTCTCCAGAGCTCTCCTGTCCTGCCCCTCCTCACAGCTGCTCCTTTCTGCCCCCAGGACTGTGGGCCGTGATCAACAATGCTGGGATCCTTGGCTTCCCTATGGACGGGGAGCTCATTCCCATGGCCGACTACAAATCCTGCATGGCCGTGAACTTCTTCGGAGCCGTAGAAGTCACCAAGACGTTTTTGCCTCTTCTCAGGAAATCCAAGGGGAGGCTGGTGAATATCAGCAGCATGGGAGGTGAGTCAGCCTCGTCACACATGGTCATGGATGCCTGTTGCAAGCAGGGCAGACACGGACAGGGCTGGGTCAGGATTAGTCAGTTTGAATATCCCCAGCTGATCTTAACAACAATGAGACCTTTCTCTCCTTTCAAATCCTTTCATGCACAAACTCTTGTCCACTTTTTAATTCATCTATTCATTACTGGGGATTTTAGATTTCTTAAGTATCTTCATGCTGCAATAACCAAGGCTTTCCTGGATTGGGACAGGAAATCCCACATCACAGGTGACACCCGTGTGGCAGGAAGCCTGTGTCCAACCCGCTGTGCACTCAGCATGCTGCTGCAGCTCTCTGCAAGCTGGGAGTAAATCCTTCCCTCTGTTGGTCCTGTTGGTACCCCCATGTTGCCCACCATTGTTGAACCCAGGATCACTGGTGTCATGCAGACGGGCACAGCTGGGTCAGGATGTGACATTTGATGACTTTCTCAGTCATTCAAAGGCTTCATCGTCTCCCTTTCCATAAACAACACCCATGCCTGGCATGTCATAGGCTTCCTTCTAGAACAGACATTTTCAAATGGTCCCTCAGATCCTTCCTCAGCTTTGGGGAGCGCCCACAAGCTCTCTCCAGTGACGGGGTGGGTGAGAGGGAAGTCACTGGGTTGCCCTGTGGACTCCAGCACCCTGCCTGCAACCCTACCTGCGTCCAACTTGTGTAATTTCTTTTCTTTGTTTGGTTTGGGAGGAGTGGACCTGCATTTTGCAATATAAACAAAGGTTCTAGAAGAATTTCTTTTTTTGTAGGGCATTTGTATTTCTGAGACAATCATCGCTGTCCGTCACATTCTGCATCCTGTCTCCTAACTCAGTCACTCCCTTGAATCTCACTGTGGTGTATGTCTTTGGTTGGTGTCATTGGTTGACCTGAGGCAGAAGAAGGGAGAGGGGGAGGGAAGGAAAGATGGGGAGTGGGCGAGAGAGACAGATTCCAGTGGGGTTAGGAGCAACCAGTGTTATATTTTAACTTACATGACCACTCCTAAATTTTTTCCAATTTCTGTTACTTGGAGGAAGCAAATGAATTCTGAAGGGAACCCCTCTCCCCCACCATAACCTAGCAGCATTTTACCCTTGACTTTGTTCTGAACTTGGCCTTGATGTGTTTGACCTCTGTGGAAGCTTCACCTCTCGCAGCTCCCTGGTACAATCTGGTACTTCTGGCAAAGTCTCAAGTACACCTTGCCTCACTCATTTAACAAATATTTACTGAAATGATTGCTCATGGCCTTCTTGGCACATTAACTAGGATGTTTTTTCCTTTTCTCTCTACCTTGTTCCCCACTTTGAGCGGCTCACTCATTTGAAAGGTTTCATGTTAGTTATCTCCAACATGCAGGATGGGTGCCGTGGGCCCAGTGTCTGGTAGCACCAGCTCAATTAATAAAGAAAGAAATGCAGATGGGTGAGTGAGCAGGAAATGGAAGATGGGTGAGTGAAGGGCTTGCAGGACAGAGGTCGCCCTTTTGGGTGTCACCAACGTGGCTTGAACACTCTTTTCAAGCCAGAAATTCTTTCTCTGATTTCTTGTATTCCTTTCAAATAGTAACCTTGAGTGTTAAAATAAGTCACACATCTCACATCTATTCTCACTCCAGGGTTATGCAAACTCTTGACACCTGACCTCACTATTCCATTTCTTGGGGATCAGCACCAAGCCAACATGGCTGAAGCCGGTCTTGCTCTCAGGCTGTGGAGCCTGCGGTCCAGGCTTCCTCCGGTTTTTCATGGTTCAGAGCTGGGAGCCTTTTTGTTTTGTTCCTCCTTGTGTGTCCCTGAAGTGTACAAAGTCTTCCTTCATCATGTCCGCCTTTGAATCCCTGCCCCAGAGAAGCTCTAGAAATGATCACGTTGATAGGACTTAGAAATCACCCAACATACCAGGAGATCAGCCGAGACGTGGAGGATTGTGTGCCCAGCAGGGCAGGGAGCTCGTGAGCAGACAGAAACACAGCTCTGAAAATTGACGCTAACACTTGGAGCTCTGTGTTAGTCTGCCAGGGCTTCCGGGAGAAAATGTAGGTATGTTAGCAACGGATGTTTCTTTTCTCGCAGTTCTGGAAGTTGAAGTCCAAGATCAGGGTTTCTCCTGCGGCCTCCCTTGCTGGCTTGTGGATGGCCACCTCCTCATGTAGACAGTCTGTGTGTTTGCATCCCAGGGGTCTCTTCCTCTCCTTGCAAGGATGCCAGCCCTACTGAACTGTGGTCCTATTTAAACTGAATTACCACTAGTCCTATCTCCAAATACAGTCACACTTAAGACACTAAGGGCCAGGGTTCAACTTACAAATTTTTCTAGGTGGAGGTGGGGCCCCAGTGCAGTCCCTAACACCCTCACAGATGAGGAACACAAGGAGAGACTCCTAGCACTTTCTGGAGAGTTCTTACACCATGTTGAATTAACACTCAGCTCTTTATTGCACCCCCAAAGGCAAAGCCCCAATAAAATAAGATTCTATTTTAAAGACTCTGTGGAAAGAGGGAGTAGAGGTTACATCCCATGGCTCACAACACATTTTGGTGCAAATGCCCTGTGGTCTTCAGTTGCTGGCCACCTCCCTTGGGTCACCTCCCCTTCCCCATGCTTCCAAATCTTGATGGTCCCTTTCCTTTTCCTCTTTCCAGCTCTTTCTCTACCCCCTCCCAATGCCCAGCATATTCATCCACCTACTCTAAGCTGCTCAGTAAACAACCCCCCCCCACCACGGGCGGGCTCTGCCTTCCTCAGGAGCAAGAGTGTGCACAGGAGGAGAAAGGACCCTTGTTACAAGTGGTGTTTGCCGGCCAGAGTTCAGTTCCTGCTATACTCACTTCCTGTCTGCATCTCACCAGCAAATGGAGGCCATCCCCGTGAACTCCCCACGCCCCTCTCCTTTCTTCACCCCCCCTCCTCCTGCTTTCCTTCCTCCTCCTCCCTGCTGGCCCTTCCCTCTCTGGGCCCCTCCCTCTACCCAAGGCCCCAGTCCAGGGATGATTCCTTATCAATTTCTCAATCGCTTCCTCTCTGTCAGGGTTGGGCCCTTGCGGGGCGGGGTGCTCCTCTCCACCTCCTAATCGGGTGACACTCCCAGAACCCATCCTCCTGTGGCCTTTCTAAGCTCCCATTTTTCTCCCCACGAAGTGGAGGAAACCAGAGTGCTGACCGCACAGAGGTGTTCTGAGGCTTCAATAAAATAATCCACCTGAAGTTCTTAGCGTGGTTCCTCATATGAGGAGTGGACAACCCCAACAGGCCACTCCTTCAGGATGGGGCCGTGCCTGCTCCAGGAGACTTTCCCCTGTAATAATATAGTCATCGTCCCTCCCACACCAGGATTATGCTCTTTAACCCCCATCCTGGTAAGGCAGTTGGATAATCTTCCTGTTCCTGAGGCCTAGGAGCTTTCTCTGCCTGTTTTCCTCTTGGGAAATAACAGAGTAGCCACTCCTACACATTTGCATGCGGAGCTTCAATGAGAAGGCAGATGCTTCTGAAGTGTCTCAGGCCGCAGGGATTTTGAGTTGGTCCTGATTTGCATTGCGCTCTGCTGAATCAGCTGGGTGACCTGGGGCAGGCCCTCTGTTTTGTCTTGACTCTATTTTATCATCTTTTAAGTGGGTGTGAGGTAACACCTGGGAGCATTTTTCAAGGGTGCTAGGGCATCTAGGGCATCTGGGGCAGTGTTTCTCATCCTGTGTGCTCTTGACATTTTGGGGAGAGGATGATTCTTTCGGTGGGGGGTTGTCCTGTAGTGGGGGTGGTGTTTGGCAGTGTCCATGTCCTTCTCCCACTAGATCCTAGTACCACTTTCCACCCCCATTGTGACAAATCTTCAGCTGTTGCCACATGACCCCCCAGGGTGGGGGGTAAAATCCACCCCAGTTGAGAACCTATGGTCTCAGCTGTTGGTTTAAATGCATTGCAGGCTCTGAAGATGAACACAGTCAGTGATAAATTGAAAGTATCCATCTCAGTCTGTTGGTGTTGCTATAACACAGAACCCAAGCTAGGCACTTTTCATAAAGAGTTTATTTTGGTGGCTGAAAGGTCCAAACATCATGAGGCCAGTGTTTGGCAAGGGGCACCCTTGGCAGCCTCACAACATGGCGGAGAAGCAGAAAGGGAAATGGCCATGGGCTTAAGGGGCATGTGTGCAAGAGTGGTCCAAGATGGCAAAACTTGTTCTATAGCAACCCATACTTGGAGGGACTAAGCCAGTCCCAAAGCCCAGTCTTCTCCTGTGGGGTGAGGATGGAGCCCCAGTTTCCTAACTGCCTTTCTCTAGGCCCACTCTTCAGTTTTCACCACTTCAACACCCACACACTGGGGACCAAGCTTCTAGCACATGCACTTCTGGGGGACAAACCACATCCCATCGTATCTCCACCCTATAAAAGGGACCTCTCAGTTACAATAATCTTTTCCCACCATCTCAAGCTGATAAAAATCACCTTACACCAAATGAAGCAGCCTTAGATATCCCTACAAGTCCATATATTCAAGGGATACAGTAGAGTTCAAGGTTTAATTTAACTCAGCCTAAGGTTGGCCGTGGGGTCATTCCTAGACTTCTTGCCAGCTTGCTGCCTCAAGGGAATCTTTTGGAAAATCAGTCAGCTGGACTCCCAGCTTACTTACCTCCCCGACACTGTCCAGGGCTGTGGGGCAGTGGGCAGTGGGTAGAGTGAGGCTGAGTGGCGCTTCCATGCTGTCCACGCTGGGGTGTTAGGTGTTTACATGTCTAAAGTCGTGCACTTCTAACACCTGCAGGATGCAGAGATTGAGAACTCTGCTAGCCCAGATTCAAATAGCGGGAAGGTGATGGAGTCAGGGTGTGAAACTGGGGGTCTCTGTTTTGCCCCAAGTTCTACATCCTTCCTGCTTTTCCAGGCCATCAAAGAAGACCCTATCAGACAAGCAGGGGCATTAAAAAAAAAAAACAACCCTAACTCTGTTCTATTAAAATGATGATTGGG